CCTTATTGAAACCAAATCGTAGGAAAAAGGATACCCTTATAATCAAGGGGCTACTGGGCAACAGAGGAGATGAACTACCTCAAAGCCCTTCCAAGCCTGTTTCCTGGCGGCTGCGGGGTTCTTCGAGTTTGGGATATTCGAGGGTTTAGAGTTTACAGGGTTTAGGGATTCAAAAGAGGGCTTAGCGTCTTAGAGTTTAGGGGTGAGTGGTTCCTCCTTCTGCGGTTGAGGGCACAGGGATTTGGGGTTCAGGGCTTCTGCTTGCAAGAGTCCTGGATGCAAAGGGCTTCGGGAGGGGGGCTGGGTTTAGGGCTCCGGGTTTCTTTGTGCGGTTTGGGCCGGTTTGGCGTTAAAAATGTCACTAGGCTTTAAAAGGGGCCCCTGATAGTACTCAATACTATTCCTGACTGAAGGCTCCTTAATACACTTATGGTGTAAGAACCCTGTTCTAATTGATCAGTCAGGTCCCTAGACTATGACTCTATCCTGAAGTTTTGCGGCTTCTTGGTTTGGGGCTTTCCTGCTCGGTCTGGGGAAGTACGCTGTTTCTGAATCCGTGAATCAAGCCTCCAGATCCCAGACTTGTACGATCCAGAAGAGCCACGGTTTAAGGTTTAGGGTTTAGTGTTTAGGGGTTTTGGGTTTAGGGTTTAGCTGACGCTCGAAGCGTGGGTTGGCTCTAATATATAGAGGCGTTAATAATTTGAATAGGGTTTGGGGGTATATTATACTACTACTACAATACCCTAACCCCCAGGTACCTACATATAGGGGTCTAGGGGCTCTGGTACCCTATATAATAGGTACCTGCGGGGTTAGGGATAAGGAACCCCAAAACTCTATACCCTAAACCCTAAACCCTAAACCCTAAACCGTAAATTCTAAGTCTTAAGGCCCCCTATATCAAACCCGAAGCCCTAATTGTTGGCTCAGACTTGGAACCTTCTGGGCCCCAAAACCATCCTATTTGCAACAATGCTCGGTGTTGTCCTGGGTTAGGGTTAAGGGTTAGGGTTTAGGGTTTTAGGGTCAGGTTTAGGGTTTAGGGTTTAGGGTTTTTTGGTGGTAGACTGACCATATCGATAGCGGTGCAACTTCACTGCCCGACCCCCGCTTTCAATTCTGAACTCCCATGGGTGCCGTCCCGAGGTTTAGGGTTCAGGGTTTCGGGTTTAGAGCTTCAGGGTATAGGGTAGCTACCCAGAGAGCCCCAAAACCCTTAACTACGTGACTTGTCCGACATACCAACAAGCCTCAAGTAATTACAGGAAGTGTATTGCGGGATGAGGTTGCAATGAGGGTCCCTCACAATTTGTAGGGATACTCGGAGGGCATAAAAAGGGGAGGCAGGGCATCCAACCCCAATTTCCCTACCATTCAGAGGACCATTCCCACCAAGAAACCTCGGCTAGCTAAGGCGGAACAATCGCAAGCTCCAGGTGATCAATGCCGCTTTGACATATTTGCCAAGTTTTCCAAAGAGCCTGGGTTTACGGGTTGAAGTTGGATTCAGCAGGGTATGATTGCGTGAAGTGGTTGATCAGGGTTTGAGGGCAAGAAGTTGAGCCCTGTTGCTGCCTGACTGCCTCTGCCTGGGGCGTGATCTTAGCAAGAAGGTTGGTTTTGCAAAGTCCATGTAGATCGCAGTGATGGCCTTCCCGGGACCGTCTGCGAGATCGTTTACTTGAGTATCTTGTCTGCCCTAAACCCAAAACCATCCCAGTTGAGCACATGCCACTTTTAAAAAAACAAATTTAGGGTTGAGGGTTTAGGGTCAAAAACATCCCTGTTGCCTTTGAAGATGCATCGTTTGCAGATGATGGGACCTGCATTGCAGGGACTTCCTCCGCCCTCAACCCGGAAGCCGAACATGCCAAAGACATTCGTCCTTGAAACAGGGCTTCGGTTCAGGGGTTGGGGGTAATATAGGGGCCTAAATAAGTACCTATAATATTTTAGGGGTTCCTTATTATAATTATAGAAGTAAGGGCCCCAAAAGCCTATTCTAATTATTAAGGCTCCTATATTACCTGATACTTTCATACAGGGACGATGAAGTGACAGTATTGCTGATGTTCAGACTGCTATATTAGGCCAGATTAGGCAAGATTAGGTTTTGGATCTCAGGGTTTGGGGCCTAGGGTTTAGGGTGCGGGCTTCGGGCTTATAGTTAATATGGGCCTGTTAAACGAGTACAGCGATTCCCTCACAGCACAACATTGGTAGCAGAGAGCCATCGCGAAAACAGGCACAACTTATTTTAATTAGGCCCTAAACCCTAAACTAGTCGGTACTCGAAGCTCCAAAACAGGCAGGTGCAAAAAGGAGTTCAAAAAAAGCAAAGACCCTAAACTGTTCTCAGAATCTGCTTGGTTCAGGGAGCAGGGAGGTTGCGGCTTCTCTAGTCCGAACGTGCCTTCGAAGGAGAGGGTTTAGAGCTTACCGCTTAAGAGTTAGGTGTACCTTATTGAGGGCTACTTGTGAAGAAGGATCATAAGTACTGCATGAAATTGGGGTCCCATGTTTCGACAAAACTCCAATCTCGAGGCAGAGAAAAATCAGCTGAAGCTTTTGCCACCCCTTCAAGCAGTATCGGAGCTTGAGCAGCTGTGGCTTGTGGGAAACCAGCCTCTTGGCTGTGTGTCGGGGGACGGGGGCATTCAAGACTATTTGGAGTTCATGGTTCCCTAAACCCTAACCCTAATCCTACCCTAAGCCCTAAACCCTAAACCCTAAACCCTAAACCCTAAACCCTAAACCCTAAACCCTAAACCCTAAACCCTAAACCCTACCCTAAACCCTAAGCCCTTTGGGGCTCGGGACTTGCGGTTCATGGTTCAAAGGGCAGAGGAGGGTTCCGGGTTTCAGTTTAGCTGTGTTTAGGGTTTAGGGTTCAGGGTGTCTCGTCTTATCCACATACAGCCGTTGACGGCAGCTTTTCACGGTTTACGGGCCGTAAGGACAAGGTGGTCTGTGAGGTTTCGCTATCACATCATTAGCCTTTGCAGCTGGGAAAAAAGCTTGGTGCGAGCATATAAGCCCTACAGCTTGGTAAAACATAACCATACACCATGAAACAAATCTCTTCAACACCCTATCAAAACCGTAAACCCAGAACCCTAAACCCCAAACGAAGCCCACTCAGGTTGCAAGAGCTGCCGAGTTTGGAGGCCAACACAAAGCTACAGTTCCTGGATGTCTCAATGAACGAACCTGGCCTGTACCCTTGGGGGTGTATAGGATTTTATGATCTTGTTTGAACAGACATTTTTTGCGTCGGTAAGTGGATTCAGAGGAAGGAAGATGAACCATGGTAGGTTTACAGGGCTTACAACAGCAGCCAAGGACTTGCGATCTCTGCCCAGTTTAGCCAAGGCTGAAGATCTAAAGTGCCTCAGGGCACGCACCAATGCTTTGACGGACCTTCCAGAGCTCAGCACTCGCGCAAGGTTGCTTGAGCTCACCGCGGCTTTCAACCAGATCGAGCGGCTGGATCTTACGAACCCTGCCTTCCGCTCTCTGACTTATTTGAATTTGGATGGCAATCTCTTGGAAACTGTTGATGGCCTCGGCTCGATGGTCGAGTTGACGCACCTCTATTTGGCAAATAACTCCTTACAGCAACTTCCGGACCTTGCCGGAACCCAACTGACTGATCTCGATCTGTCGCACAATCGCTTGCAATCTCTCCCGGTTTTAGGGAGCCTCCATAAGCTGCAGCTGTTGAATGCAGAGAACAACTGTTTGACATCTGTTTCAGGCTTGGAGAATCTGACTGGCTTACGTTGGTTGCGCCTGAGGAGCAACAACCTAACGGAGCTTCCAAGCTTGAAAGCATGCGGGCATATGAGGCTTGTGTCTGTAAGCCACAACTCCCTTGTGTCCATCGGGCATCTCCCGACCTTTCTCGATGAGTTCAGCGCCGGGTACAACCGGCTGAGCCGATTATCTTTTCCAAGCCATATAAGAATCTAGGTTGTTTTTTGGGACATTTTTTATTTTCCCTCTTTGGGTTTATAAGGGACCCTTTATGTAAATAATTTTCAGAGGCCAACCCAGGAATGTACAGCCTGAGCATTCCTTACAACCTGTTGGAGGAGTTCTCGCTGCGGCCCTTCGCCAGTTCCCAGCTATTGTCCCTGAGCGTGCGTGGCAACCGCTTGAAGCGATTGCCCGGGTTGGAGAATCTGGAAGAGCTGCATTTCCTCGATGCCTCCGAGAATCAACTGACAGAACTTCCGCCGGGCGACAGGCTGTATAAGCTGCAGGGGCTTTGCTTGACAAACAACACCCTGCCGGTGCTGCCAGGCCTGTTTGGCTTTCGTCTCTTGCAAAGCTTGGGCTGTGCGGGAAACCCTCTCAGTGAGAGACCGCAAGCCCCAGAGCGGGTTGTTTGCGACTGCTGCGCGAATGCTTCAGTGCAGGACATCCCGCTTCAACTAGCATGGTGCGTCCACGAAACAGAGACTCATTAGAGACGGTGTCGCGTGGGATAGTCTCTGTTGCAGTTCCTTTGATGATTCTCCTTCGTATTTTCAGCGCCGGAAACCCGATCCCAGCTCAAAGACTCTCTGTAGTCGCTGTCTATGAGGTTGTGTTCGGGGCTTGGGGTTTAGGGTTTAGGGAAACCTCATCCCTAAACCCCAAACCGGTCGCTCTCAGCGGAGGAGTCTCTTTTGTGCGGCTCCGGCTCAAACAGACTACATGCGGACACTTACTGCAGGCCCCTGTAGGGGTAAGCATAATGACCTATACGGGCTCCTTATCATAATTATAGTACAATGGGCCCCAAAGCCCTATTCTAATTGTCAAGGCCTTATATTACCTGAAGCCTAAGAGGTGACACCATACTTGAGAAAGCCCTCCATCCCGAATCCACTAAGCTCAAAAGGTGGCAGCCTTTCCGGGCTCCGGTTACTCAAAAATGGGGTTTAGGGTTTAGGGTTAACGCCCTACCATGACGCTGCAAGCTCCGAAGCACGACCGTCTCAAGCCGCGAGGCAGCCGCCGACAAACTGAAAATGGCACTTCACAGCGGAGAGGCGACTACCCACAGAATGTAGATTACACAAATTAAATCGAGTATGGGGAAGGAGACATAGCCTAGACATGCCTAGATCGATATGTAGTTGTTGCTCAAGCATGAAAAACTTAACGGAATTTACCTGTATGCACACACGTGCACACACGCACACCACAACCATGTGTGTGTACATTTTTTATGTATGTGTATATATATATATATACATACATTTGATGTTGTTGCACATACATATACATATAGGTACGTAGTTAGTTGGTTGTTTGTTGATTTATCTGTCGATGTGTGTACAGACAGTCACGATACCACATGTGTATGTAAACCTTGTTACACTATGTCTGTGTACATACGACAAATATACCATGGCGGAAGAGGACGTCCATTTTCGTATGTGTAGGCTTCCACTTCGCTGGTGTGTCTCCGAACACTTCGTCCGACCATTGAGAGTTGAGGGTGAAGCTAGTTGACGTGCTCCTGGGAGCTGGAGTACCTTTAGTCTCCATGGTAGTCTCTCGTATGGTTTTTTTCACCCAGTTAATATTTCTAGAACCCTGTAAGGTATCCCAAAAGGAGCTACCATGGAGACTGGGGTCTGGGTTAGACATACCCGTGGCCGTCATTCCCCGTTGGCCTCAACCTGTTTGTAGGACAAGCGGGCTTGGCAGGCAGGGTTGTTGTTTGTTTTTCTCACACAGGCATGGGCCTATATAACCCTGAAGCTAATTCCTAATTTCCCTGCGTGTAGCCGGGGTAACTACAGCTAGCCATGAACTGTTTAGCACGAGGCCAGACTGCTAATCTCAACGATGGTTTCGGTTGAAGGCGAAGGGTTCCAGACTCGGTCGGAGATTCGTGTTCTTGAGTCTGAAGGAGTTGCTGAGGAATTCGCATCATTGCGCGTGTGTGTGTGTGTGTGTAAAGCAGGGGCCGGAGGAATTAACGATACTATTCCTTGGAATTGTTGTAGAATCGCTATACTATAACAACAGTTAACCCAAATCCCTATTTTGTTGTGTAAAGCCCCCAGATAGATTGCTTAGGGGCAGGCCAGGTCATTTCTTCCTTGCCGGCCTTTGAACGATCTCTTGCGCGCCTAAGCTACCTCTTGGACCCGATCTTCTCGAGCGGTGCTAGTACCGTTTAAACCCTTAACCCTAGTTGGGGACCGGAAGCATGACCTAGTGTAGAGTTACCAACCTTTAACCTTTTTGGGTACTATAATCCCTATATAACCCTAAAGGTTAGTTTTAGCTCCGCTGTAATACTGGACAAGTGGGACTATTGCCTTCACTTGGCTAGACCTCGAACCCACAGCCTTGAATCTTCTATTCTCTAATATCGAGGTTTGAGAACAATCAGCAATATCAATAGTGTGTAGCACCATGCCCCGAAAATCCATCGCAGCTATAACATGTTATGAATACCAAAGCCCTAGACTACCTTAAACCCTAAACCCTATGTGGAGCCTTGCTTGCTGTGTGCGAGAGTGAGAGTCGAAACCCTAAACCGCAAAGACTAAACTTCAAAGGATTCGCTGCCCCCGAAGCGCTTCGGGGAGGCACCTGCTGCGATGCGTCTCCGAAACCTTAGAAGTTTAGGGTTTAGGGATTTAGGGTTCAGGAATTAGGGGTTCAGGGCATGGTGTTTAGGGCTTAGGGGTGTAGGGTTCGGTCTTTGGCTAGACCGGGCTGCTGGACAAGGAGGCCTGTTGCAAAAAAAGGGTTTGGCGCATTGGTTTTAGGGTTTAGGGTTTAGGGGTCTAGGGTTGCGGTTTGATGACTTGGAGCTGCTAGACCCTGTAAATCTCTTAAATCTTTGATTAGGGCCTAATTAGTCCCCAAACCATAAACTGTGCAACCTTGCAACCCGCTTACACCCTAAACCCTAAAACCCTAACCCCTAAACCAGCTGGGCGGGTGGGAAAACAACCCTAAAGCCCTAAACCCTAAAGCCCTTTAAAGCCCTATAAACCCTAAGCCCTAAACCCCAAACCCGAAACCCTAAACCCAAAGCCCTAAACCCCTAAAGCCCTGAAGCTTAAACCCCAAACCCGAAACCCTAAACCCTTAGCCCTAAGCCCTAAGCCCTAAACCCCTAAACCCCTAAACCCCTAAACCCCTAAACCCGAAGCCCAAAGCCGGTCGGAGGCTTTGGCGGCTTTGTCTGAGTTGGGAGCCGACTTAGAGGCCGGTTCTCCCGAGCCAAAAGGGTTTGGGGGGCGTAGGGTTTAGGGGGGGTTTAGGGGTTTGGGTTAGCTTGGGTTTAAGTTTAAGGTTTAGGGGGTTTAGGGGTTTGGGTTAGTTTAAGTTTAGGGTTTAGCGGTTTGGGGGTTTAGGGTTTAGGGGTTTAGGGGCTTAGGGTTTAGGGTTTAGGGGTTTAGGTTAGGGGTTGAGGGTGTAGGGTTTCTGGCGATAGAGTCCAGTGACAAAAAAAGGGTTTAGGGTGTAGGGTTTGGGTTTTGGGGTTTAGACTTAGGTCTTATTGTTTAGGGTTCGGGCTTGGTGTTGAGGTTTAGGGTGTAAGTTTAGACTTGAGGCTAATTATACGGTTTCGGGTGCCGGATTTTGGTTGTCGGGTTTAGACTCGGTCTAAAACTGGCTTAGGGCTTGAGAAAGGCTTCATAAGGGGTTATACCGTAAACCCAGAACCCTAACAACCCTAAACCCTAAACAACCCTAAACCCTAAATCCTAAACCGTAAACGCCCTTGCATCTCGTAGAAGGGTTGTAGTAGTGCGGTGTAAGGTTTAGGGTTTAGGGT